CTAATCTGACTCTTAAAGTTCTTGAAAGTAAGAATATATTATTCAAAACCCAGGTATGGTAGCATATACCTCTAATCCCAGCTACCTGGGAGGTATAAGTGAGAGAATCTCAGTCCAAGACTGGCCCAGGCAAAAGTATAAGACTCTGTCAAAAACAGACTAAAATAAAAAGGGCTGGAGGGTATGGGGCATGGCTTAAGTTGTAGAGCACTTGCCTAATAAGTGTGAGGCCCTGAGCTCAAACCCCAGTACCACCAAAGATAATAATAATATATTACTCAAATGAAATATTTTTAAAATATAAATGTTTTCAGTCAAGCTGTTATAATTGGCATATTGTGAAATGCAAATACCATCCCTTAAACCTCGTATTTCTTTGTTGTTTTATTCTGTAGAATTGGCATTGTGTTTATTGGCAATTCTGAAGAAACTATGGAAGTTAAAATACTTGGAAAACTGGAACGGTAATTTTTTTATATATATTATGATATTCTCTATATTAAGTATATAGTGTAGAACAGGGATCAGTAAACTATGGCCCACAACCAAAGAGACTTCTGTCTCTTTATTACAGCCAGTAAACTGTGTTACATTTTTAAGGATTGCTTTAAAAAAAAAAAGAAAGAAGATAGAGCAGATAAGATGGCATATAAAGCCTAAGATACTATATTGCTTTTTACAGAAAACATTTTCAGACCTCTGCTATAGAATGATACCAGTATTAGCCAGGCATGGTAGTGCATGCCTATAATCCCAGCTATGAGAGAGGTAGGGGTAAGAGACTGGTACACACAAAAGCAAAAGACCCTATAAGAAATGAGTTGAAACCGAAAGAGCTGGGGATGTGGCTCAAGTGGTAGAGCACGTCCCTAGCAAGTGTGAGGCCCTAAGTTCAATACCCAGAACTGGGGGTGGAATGGGAGGGAGTCAATATTACATTGTCTCTCATCACAGTTATAACAGTATTCTGCTCAGAATTCCTCATCTGTATTTTAGTTAACTGATTCCTGAATTTATTTATGTGTTTACTTTTAAACAGTCTTGAGTTTGGGATTTTTAGATTATTAACTCACCAAATAAAGAAAAAGTTTTCTTTATTTTGTTTTGCTCATTTGATTTGGTTTGGTTTTTGCAGCAAACTGGGGAGCAAACCCAAGACCGCATGCATTCTAGGCAAAGGCTTTACCACTAAGCTGTACCCCAACCCAACTTTCCTTATATTTTCTGTGATTGTGTATTTGAACATTAACAGCAGTCTCTTTCCAGTATTTCCACTGTGATAAATTAGTTCAGACCTATTACACTTAACTATACTTTTTATAGTCTTATCAGGTAAGACTATGTCTCTCCATACTTTTTCACACTAAATAGGGTCTGTTCTTTACTTTCATATGGGAGCCTGTCTTGCTCATTTCATCAGATTACAAACTATCATTCAACTGAGTGTTTTTCTTTTGAGGTCTGAAAAGTACGCCATATTTACATCATTGTTTAAGATTCTTATGGAAGATATTTTAAGACACACCTCACCTCTCTGCACAAATGTTTTTCAGCTCCCAAGAGAGGCATTTGTGGTTTACATACATGCAGGTTCAGAATCCCTGTTGCGATGAGCCTCTAATACTACTGTGCATGTGTTGTATTTGTCAAATGTGTCAGAAGAGCGAAAAGGGTTAGAATTGGTTGTCTTTCTTAATGAGAAAAACATGGAGCTGGGCAGACCTGAGCTGCAGTCCTTGTTCTGTGCTTACAAGCTTATTTGACTTGAGGCAAGTCACTTAAACTTTCTAATAGTCCTCATCTGTACAAATGAGACAAGAGCCACTTTCTTGGCTTCTCATTGGAATTAAATTGACAAAAGGTATCTAAAGCACATTGATTTGGTAAGGATTCAAAGGCATTTCCTTCTATTTCAGTATTATTAATGACTCATAACACATCCTCACGAAAATGTAGTTGATTAGTTTCATATTTTAATAGTCACATATTGTTACTTTATGAAGTAAGGTTTTTGTCTTTCTTATATTCTTTAGGTACAAATTGCTCCATATTCTGGAATTTGATTCAGATCGTAGGAGAATGAGTGTAATTGTTCAAGCACCTTCAGGTAACCAATCTAAATTTTGATGAGTTGTTATTTACCTAGCATTAACAGCTTAATAATTGATGTTGTCCTTTTAGGTGAGATGCTTTTATTTGCTAAAGGAGCTGAATCATCAATCCTCCCTAACTGTATAGGTGGGGAAATAGAAAAAACCAGAATTCATGTAGATGAATTTGCTTTGGTAAGTACAAACCTCTGATTTAAAAACCTGAAAGTTACATTTAAGAAGGATTTGGGAGCTTCATTTTTTAAATAATTTATCCAAAATGTGAGGATTCTATAGTTCTGTTGCACTGTGTTGACTCAACATTCTTTATCTAAAAACTAATTTTTAGTGTGCTAAAAGGTAAATCTTCAAACCTATTACAGCTTCTTGCCTGCAAGTACCACTCAAACTATGCTATTTCAAAAAGAGGGTTGAGGGCTGGAGATATAACTCAGCAGTACAGCATTTGCCTTGCATGGACATGGCTTTGGATTCTATCAATAAACAACACACACACACACACACAAACACACACACACAGTTTTTCCAGGTAAAATGGTGTATGCTTGTAGCTGCAGCTACTGCAGAAACTAAGGCAAGAGGATGGCTTGAGCTTAGAAGTTCAAGAACAGCCAGAACAACGTATACTTTGACTCAAGGCAAAAAACAAAATGCCAAAAAAGTTGGATCGGGGTGTGTGGCTCAGTGGTAAAGAACACATTGAGCATGCGCAATGCCCTGGGTTCACTCTACAGAAGAGGAACTTGCTAAAAGAATATAAGGGGGACTAGAGGTGTGGCTAAAGCCTGCTTTGCAAGCATGAAGCCCTGAGTTCAAACCCCAGTTCTACCAAAAAACATACATTTTGGTTTTATATATTTTTTCATGTATCTGTATGGAAATTTCAAGAATGTAAAGAAATTAGATTCCTCGTACATTGCTGGTAGAATTACAAGTGGTATAACCACTTTGGAAAAGCAGTTTGGCAATTCTTTAAAAGATAAACAAGCCAGGAGGTGGTGACTCATGCCTGTAGTCCTAGGAGGAGCTGGTGACTCATGCTAAGTCCTACTTAGGAGGCAACTATCAGGAGGATCATGGTTCAAAGCCAGCCCGGGCAAATAGTTCATGAGACCCTATCTCAAAACTAACCATTACACAAAGGGCTGGCTGAGTGGTCAAGGTGAAGGCCCTGAGTTCAAGCCCCAGTACCACAAAAAAAAAGATAAAGTTTTTATATGACTCAGCAGTTCCACTGCTGGGTATAAGAGAATTGAAAGCATATGTCCACACAAAATCTTATGTGTGATTGTTCATAAACAGCATTATTCCTGAGCTGGGCACTGGTAGCTTACACCTGTAATTCTAGCTACTTGCAAGGCTAAGATTGGGAGGATTATGGTTCGAGGCCAGCCTGGGCAAATAGTTCTCAAGACCTTATCTCCAAAATAACCAAAGCAAAATGGACTGGAAATGGCTCAAGCGATAGAGCACATGCTTTGCAGGCATGAAGCCCTGAGTTCAAACTCCAGTCCCACAGGGAAAAAAAAAAAAGAGTGATATATTCACAAAATATTAGCCATTAAAAGGAATAAAGTACTGGTACATACCACAACATGGACCTTTAAAAGATTGCTGAGTGGAAGAAGCCATTCACAAAAGGCCATGTATTACATTTATCTGAATGCCCAGAATAGGCAGATTTGTAGAAGAAGGAGGCAGATTAGTGGGTTGCCAGGGGCTAGAGGAAAGAGAGAGCAATGGGTATGGGATTCCCTTAGAGGGTGATGAAATATTCTGGAATTAGACAGCAGTGATGATTGCACAACTTTGTGAATATACTAAAAACCACTGATTTGTACTCATTTTTAATATGAGGGTGAATTCTATGTAATGTGATCTATATTTCTTACTAAAAGAAAAGAAAATAGAGGAATTTTATGAAAACAAAAAGCCATAATTCACGATCTGTCATTTTTGGTATTTTTGTAAATATATGCTCTGTATTCATCTCAGCTTACCTGTCTCTTTCACTGGTTTATGATTTCTTTTCCTCCACTATTTGTCCTGATTGCTTATGATCCTCTACTCCCCATAATACCTGTAAAAGCAAAGATATTGTTACTCCATGCCACTGTTTTAATATCCAGAATAGCACTGGACATAGTTGTGCTCAACAAGTATTTGTTGTGAAATAAATTAATTAGATCATATATTAATAACTGATGGCCACTTATTTATGAGAAAGTGTTATTTGTAGGTGTCAGTCATATATAAATCAGAAAATGCCAATATTTTTAAATCTGCTAATTATCTTTTTTTTTTTTTTTTTTCAAAATCTACCCTTTCCAAGTTCTATTGTTAGAACATTTAATAGGGGTTTTTCTGAGGAAACTATACAGCAGAAAAGGAAGTTGATGAGCCTGTAGATTTGGATACCAACTTTCAAAGATTTTAAAATATTGAGCCTAATACAATCACATAATTAAATATAAATTCCTAAGTTTTAGTAATTCCAATTCACTGATGATATTATTCAAAATCATTTACTTTTTAGAGCCAAAAAATAGTTTATTTGAATTGCAAATTTTGTCATACATTGAACCCTCAGGAGATTGTTCTCGCCTTTGCTTATAAAAATAAATCTTATAAAATTGGTAAAAGTGGATTTATAAGTTAAAAGAGGTAAGTAGAAGTTGGTGCTGGCTCTCTCTTGACAACCTTAAAGATTGTACTTTCTGGCATTCAGTGTAATTGTTTTAAAACCACAAATAAGATAACTCGAATCATTAGAGTTTCGGAACATTTCACTTGTTTCCTGTCACTAAATGATAGTGCTTTTTCTAACATTTGTAATTAATTTTTTGGTAACGAGGCCTGTAGGGTTTATTTTGGTTTGTTCTGTTGTTATTGTTCTTGCACTGCTAAGGGCTGAACCCAGAGTCCTCAGTTCATTTCAGTAGTTTTTTTCATTAGTTGTTTGTGTTCGGTTTTTGTCTTTAATTTTTTGTTTGTTTCAGAAAGGACTACGAACTCTGTGTATGGCCTACAGACAATTTACACCTAAAGAGTATGAAGAAATAGATAAACGCCTATTTGAAGCTAGGACTGCCTTGCAGCAACGGGAAGAGAAATTGGCTAACGTTTTCCATTTCATAGAGAAAGACCTGATATTACTTGGAGCTACAGCAGTAGAAGATAGGTAAGAATCAAAGTTATCAATATCATTTTTCTCTCATAAGAATATTTTTAGTTAACTGTCTGTAATATGTGAAATAAGTTTTATTTATTAGCATCCTAAAATATATTTAAACTTAAAATGAGAACTAAAGCCTTAATTTTTTTCCCAGTTGGCATCTACTGTTTTGTTCTAGTTAGATATTTAAAGTAGATGAAAGAAATCAATTATGTGAAGATTCTCCCAAGAGCCTTAAATTTTTAGACTATGCCTTAGTTAGTGTGCCATACAAAGACATTGAACATCTGCTAAATTCTCCAGCCTCTCCTCCCACCACTGTCCACTTCTACTTTATTTTTCAGTGAGACCACATTAACTGTAGTTCTCCTCACACACCAGCTAAAGTTAAAACTATTTTGTTTTCTGCTTTTGTTTCTTGGCAAGGCTGTGACTTCTACATGATTCTTTCCTTCCCTATCAATAGATCTGTGAATACCTATTCATAAAATATAACTCAGATATTAATCCCACTCAAGGAAAACCTTTCCTGATAAGTAACAGATATGAAGACTCTGTGTTTTATAGATAGTTGTATTGTTGTTCTTGAGGTACTAAATTATAATTATTTAATGATTTTCTCTTTTCCGTCCTATGAGTTATTTCTTCTAGTACATTTATTGTCTTTGTTCCCCAGCATTTATTTCAATCTTGAATTAAATTGAGTGCTGTGAGTTAAATTGCTTTCTACAAATTAAGCCTGTTGTTTTCTTGTATCCCTTAGATCTAAGGGCGTTAGCATATTTTTTATTCTAGGTTTTGTTTTTTTTTTTTTCACTTGTCCTCATGACAAGAGGTTTCTTAGACTCACCTGAAATTATGTAGTCTGTTTTCCACAGTCTCATTTTTTAATTATAAGAGTGATTTGATAGATTTTTCTTTTCTTACAGAGAGAAAGAGAAAGAAATCTCCTTTGATTTGAAATTTAAGACTTCCAAGGACTAGGGATTACAGCTCAGTGGCATAGCTAATGTGTATGAGGCCCTGGATCTAATCAAATAGTTGATGAAGACCACCAAGGTCTAATAAAAAACAAATCACTTTTGAAGATAAGCTCTTAAAACGAGAAGTTGTGTATTTAAATTGATTAGTTTTGCGTAAACATGTCATCAGTTTATTATTATTTATTCCCTAAAGGGAGAAAATTTCAGTTACATTGATATACTTTAACATTCCTAGGTCAAGTCCAGACTTTACATAACTATAGTTTTTATGTAACATACAATCAGAAAAGTATTTTCTTTAGCCATTTTTATTTCTTTTATTTTCAGACTACAAGACAAAGTTCGAGAAACTATTGAAGCATTGAGAATGGCTGGTATCAAAGTGTGGGTACTTACTGGAGATAAACATGAAACAGCTGTTAGTGTGAGTTTGTCATGTGGACATTTTCATAGAACCATGAATATCCTTGAACTTATAAACCAGAAATCAGACAACGAATGTGCTGAACAATTGACGCAGCTTGCCAGAAGGTAAGATAATAGGTATCTGGATTGTGCAGTTCCAAGGTCAACAAACTTTAGCCCAAGAGTCAGAAACAACCCACTGTCGCAGCCTATCTTTTATAGCCCCTGAGCTAAAAGCCATTTTTACATTTTTTGATAGGTGAAAAATAATCTAAAGAAGAATGCTAAATGGTGTGGAAATTACATAAGAGTGAGATTTCAGTGCCAATAAGTTTGATTAGAACTCAAACACATAAATTTGTCTTACCTGTTACCAGTGATTGCTTCACCACTCCAGTGTCTGAGTTGAGTATTTGCAGTAGAGACCATATGAAGTCCTCTCATCACTTCACACTCTGTTTGGCATGGCACAGATCACAGTGACACAGTCACAATCTAATTATGTTTTGAGTGCCATTCATACCACCATGCTTTGTCATGACAAAACAAGAAAAGAAAAAATGGACTTTAATATCACAATTTTAAGGCATAGTTGAGTGGCATGACTTTATTATTGAACTGCATGGCAAAGCATATTTATTATGTGTTGATATTTTACCTGTGCCACCTGTTTGAAAAGTCACTATCAAAGTTGAATTCTAAAATCTTAACAGTAGAGTTCTATTGTATTGAAATATAAAAACAAAAAAATGTTCATTCTTATTGTTAGTGGACCACTATAATAAATTTTTAATGTACTCTATTATTACTATATGTTTAGTTTAGTCAATGGAAATTTTGTTAAAATTTATTTTCTCTCTCACTATATAAGTACCTGTGTAACATCTTCAGTTTTGTCTTTTGGCTCACAGCCCAAAACTAAAATAATTGGTACCTGGCCATATACCGAAAACATTTGCTAACCCTTAATGTAGATCACATGGCCACACTGGAAAATTAGTCTGCATTTTAGTTTTCAAAAATTATTTCATAAGAATTTATACTCGGAATTCTGTCTTTTTTTTTTTGTAAATCTATAAGCAAGTGAGATTCATTTGTGTGCCCCCATTTAACACAGTCTCATTTTTCATAATGAATTAAGGAGTGCTTTAGTGTGACCATCAGGGCTGGTTCCATATAGGTGTGTGAGGTCTCCTATAGGAACCTTGTGATGCTAACCTAGAAATAAAAGTCCAAAAAGACAAAGCCATAATTGTTAGCGTATTCAGTGCTTTATTTATGCTTGATATATAAGCATTGCTATGGTGCTAAAGTCTAGAGCTCATCGAAGACAATCTTTTTAAAGATAGTGTATTCTTAAAACAGTATAATTGCAAAAAGGATCTTTGCTTGAGTATAAAACGCAGTTGATCTAGGTAATTATGTTTTGGGAGCAGTGTCAACACCATTGTGGCTACTTAACATTTAAATACTACAGTGTCAAGAACAAAATAATTATGTAAGCCTTCTAAAATATTTTTCTTGATTATAAAAGTAATAAACGGCTACTTGAAAAGTACTGGAAATTATATTACAGTGGTTAATGGCATAATACAATCGTGTAAAGATTATTATTTGTATCTTAGCATATTTTCTTTAAAGTCTTCTATATATGTGCTCTTAATAAATGTGTTATAGTTATTAGTAGTGTTCATTTCTCTTTTCGTTATATTGTAAAGTAGAAAAAAATACCCTTAAAGTGAATTTTAGGTTTTCTGTCTTTGTATGTACTGCTATAACAAAATACCTGAGACTGGGTAGTTTGTAAAGAACAGAAGTTAATATCTTAAGTTCTAGAAGCTGGGAAGTCCAAGATCAAGGTGCCAGCAGATTGCACAGTGAGGACTGCTCCTTGCTTCCAAGATGGTGCCTTATTGGGGTGAATGCTGTTGGACAAAGAACAAAAGAGGCAAACTTTATGTGAAGCCTCTTTCATCAGGGCAGCAACCCATAGGGCATAGCTCTTATGACTTAATCAGTAAAGGCCTCTCAGTACCACCAGAATGAGATTAAGTTTCGATGTGAATTTTGGAGGTGACAAACCATAGCACTTGATATGTGAAATTTATTTTAGAGAAATTACATGTTTTTAGAGGAATACATTTTCTGAGACAGCTACACAAGTCAATAGGATTTGGATTTATAGGCACTGAAGAAAGTATGTGTTCTACAAATCTTAATTTGAGTGGAAGCTTTAGTTTACATATCCATTCCTTAATAAGCATACATTGTCTCCTATCTAGGTGTTTGGAACACAGTCATTTAAAGTGTGGTGCTTCCTCTCAAATACTGCATATAGGGAAGACAGGTAAATACTTGGTCATAGACCTATCACAATGAATGGTAACAGACCAAGAACAAGCTGGGGAGGACAGAAGAGAGAAGCTTAGCCTAGGCCAGGGGCATCAGGGAGAGTTCTAGAAGAACTGATAATCACAGGGTCATCAAGGAGGAAAGGGCAGTGGTTGCAAAGTCCCAGTTAAGGAGTTGATAGGAAAATATGGACAGCGAATGTGTAATAAGTGGGAGAGTAAATGGGAGCAGTGAGATACAGAGCCAATGCTGCTGTGCTGCTGCTGTGCTAGAACTCTTAATTTATTTATTTATTTATTGGTGATACTGAGTTTTGAACTCTGGGCTTTGTGCTTGCCAAGCATGCACACTGCCACTTGAGCCATGCCTTTAGGCTTTTGGCTATTTTTTTAGACAGGGTCTCAGTTTTTGCCCAGAATGTGACCCTCCCACATATGCCTCCCAAGTAGCTGGGATTTAAGATGTTAACCCCACACCCAGTTCGTTTGTTTAGATGGGGTTTTGCTAACTTTTTTGCCTGGGTGAGCCTTAAACTACCATCTTCCCAATCTCTACTTTTGAGTAACTGGGACTAAAGACAGGAGTCACCATACCTGGCCTCCATGTTTCTTAAATATCCCATAGATTGTGCTCATATGATGATTTATGAAGCATGTGCAGCGCAAAACCAAATTTATTTTCCACTTTAGGCTGATCATATCTCTGAGGCATGTCGCTCTGTGAGTGTTCAGGATGGGCTGAGGACACTGACAACAGTACAAGTTTTCTAAATGGGGAAGAAAACCTGTCAGTGTAGGTGATTTCACTTACTGGAGATGCAGATAAAGAAGAAAAACACATTTTAAAATTTTTCAAGCTAGAAAGTGAATTGCTTACTACTTACTAGCAAGAGTGTAACACAATAGTGATCAGGCATGCCATGACATTTTTTTTCTACTGTAAAACTAAAGTCTGTCAATGTATGTTTAGCTTTCATAGTTTATTGCTCATTTATAGCTGCCTCACTTACCATTTTAAAATGGAGGGCTGTTTCTCAGTAGCAGCCTGTGAATTTGCAATAATTCCTTTATGGCATAGACAATACTGGACTACCTTAAATGCTGACTTTCAACAACATAAAAGGAGCTTGCACCAGAAGAGATCTTTGTACCACTTCCTCCATCCAGAAGGCCTTATTATCAAAGAGACACTGGGGGAAAATGGTTGAACCAAATAGCATGCTTAGTGATGTGCTGATTCACATACAGGGGTAAGCTCTTTGTCACTTCCTGGCAACAGTTTATCCAGCTGCCAGTAAGCAGACCATACTTTTAGTAGCACTTATTTCATATATACCCATAAATGGGATATAATTCAATTTCTACTATAGCAATTTATCTGAGGTTACAATCTAATAAAGGGCTTAATATCAAGAGACTATACCAGTTCTTTCATTCCTATTCTTCCTACATATGTAATCTAGCTCATAAGTGTTCCTGAACATTCTTGATTTCATATGATTTTTTAAGGTTAGGATTTACTAAATGGATAAATAATAATGTTTCTATTTTTGTAAGAATATTTATTTTCATGGTTAATCTCTCAAATATGTGTTACCATTCACACTTTAGAAAATAAAGTTATTATATCTGTATATCACTTCATTGTAAAATCAGGTATCATCTCTTACACCCGTCATATCAGTGACTCCCAGTTCTGCTTTTATGAACTTTCAGGTAACACAACTGAATTTATTCCCTAACATATCAGTCTTATAAAGTCTGTGGTTGGAAGTATCCACCTTTCAGTGAAACTCTTATTCTATGAGTGTGAACTATATGGCTTCAAAGTGTCTTACAAGCCAGGTGTGGTGGTACACACCTGTTATAGTCCCAGCTACTCTTGAGGCAGAGCAGGGGGATCACAAGTTTGAGGGTAGCCCAGGAAAAGTTAAAGAGACCCTATCTCAAAAACAAAATACAATACAAAAGAATTGAGGATATATGGCTCAGGTGGTAAAGTGCTTGCCTAGCATATCCTGTGTTCAATTCCCCAGTACTGTGCAAAAAAAAAAAAAAAAAAGTATTTTTAAGAGGATGTAATTATTTTTCTCTTTTAGAATTACAGAAGATCATGTGATTCAGCATGGGTTGGTAGTGGATGGAACCAGCCTATCTCTTGCACTCAGGGAGCATGAAAAACTGTTTATGGAAGTTTGCAGAAATTGTTCAGCTGTATTATGCTGTCGTATGGCACCACTGCAGAAAGCAAAAGTATGTATATATTATAAAGATATTTAAATCTAAAATTATTCTTTAAGGTTAAATGCCTTACCTAGTTGCATTTGGTGGTATGCAGTATATGAATTTTACTAGGAATCAGTCACTTCCCCATATAGTGAATTGTAACCATGTACATTAGAATTTTGGGATTCTCAGAGTATTGATACTGACCTAGAAAAACTGTCTTGGATAGCAGTTTGTGCTCTTGCTGAAACATAAATTTGTGCTGTGATAGTTGACATAACCCAAATTAGTTACTTAGCTAGTTTAGAAAAGCAACATAGGAAACTTGAATTCATCCACACCGTCAGGTGGTTGAACTCTGCGTATTCTTACATTCTTGTGAAGTGATCATTCTTTGTTATGAGTGGCTATCCAGGGCTAAATAGAACTTTAGTAAAAAAGTTGAAAAGCCAATTAATTGTAATGTATAGCTATATACAGGAAATACTTAAATTTTAGCCATCTGAAATTTTAGCTAACTTAATGGAAACATTTTTTGTAGTTCCACACTTGGAATTTGAGGTCTTAGATTGTATCCTTCACAAGTATTCTGATATTTTTCACATATAAATCTAATAAGTTAGGCGTCGAACTTTTTATCTTCATAGAATTTTGTTACATGCCTATATTTTAATTCATGTCCTCCAGTCTATAGAGATAAAAACTGGAGACCAAACAGAATTAATGCCTATGTTCTTTATAAAATTACATTCAAGAATTCCAAAGAAACCTGTTCTAATTTCACTGAATTTATATTGATTACCCTTTTTAGAACTTTAGATTTTGTTAGCTATAAGATAGGTGTCTTTCCTTTGTCTCAAAAACAATGATTTCTTGAGAAAGAAAATATTTTGTCTGACAGTTCAAAGTGCAGTTCTTTTATCTTAATCTCTTTTTCTTAGTCCTTTACAGTTTTAATATGTATTTTTAAAACTCTTCTCTTATAAAATTCAAACATAATACTCTATTTTGTTATGGCATTTCTGTAACACTTTCCTAAAATCTTAATGGAGATACTGCTCTAAGAAATAAGCCCTAATGCAGCTTGTTGTCTAATATAAAATTAAATCTTTTTTCCATTAATGTTCTTACTACAGTCATTTCAGATAGATGACGTTACACAAATATAAGAAAATAAAATTTTATCATGAAGAACTAATTTATTGTATGTCTTTCAGGTAATAAGACTGATAAAAATCTCACCTGAGAAGCCAATAACCTTGGCTGTGGGTGATGGCGCTAATGACGTAAGCATGATACAGGAAGCACATGTTGGCATAGGTGATTGATTTCTTTTTCTCCCTTGTTTTAAAGTTGGTGTAATTATTTGGTAGCTTTGAATTCTCCTTTTGTAGATTAAAATACAATATCAAATATGTGAATGAAAACTAAATGCAGTATGGAAATGTATCACAATGTACACCATAAAACACATATTATTCTTGAGCCCACTATAGGATATTTTAGTCAAAATTTTAAAAGGAAATGAATGCTACATGGTAAATTTTATCTTTGCCCATTTTCCTTCATGATAAGAATACCTTTCTTATAACATTTTGTACCTTGTGAACTTTTTATACATTATTTTATCCCTTTTAAACTCTAAATTTATGATTTACATAGTTGCTGTATTTTAAATTCTTGTTATGGAATTACTATTATTTTGTTTGTAAAGGTAAAGATTCTGCAGTACATTTTGAAGACAAGTATAGAGATAAGAAATTATATCTAAGAGTAATAAAAACATAAACTCTCAAATAATTTTCTTAAATTATTTTCTACTTTTGCCTAAAATATTTATTGGATTCAGAACACTAATATTGTATTACTAATGATTAATTTAGTAATCATTTCCTATTTTAACATATTCTGACCTATCCCCCACTATTATTTTATTTTCAAATACAGAGCAAAAGGGAAAAGCATGGGTATGGGTTTTTTTTATTGCAAGATAAAATCTAAGAGTTAGAAGAGAGAATATCCCCTATTCAGGAATAGTCTTTATAATACCCTGTGTTGAGTAGTTATCAGGTCTGATATTTCCAATTTATCTCTCAAGTCAACTCCTTTTTCTTTGGGATAATTAGCTATTAATTTTGAAATTTTAATTTTCTAGTTCATATACTATTATTTTCCATAAATCTCCATAACAGTTTGATAACTTCCTATACCATGCATTAAGCATAGAAAACTTTATTTAGTGGCTCTCACCTGCAATCCCAACTACTCAGGAGGTACAGATTGGGAAGATCACTGTTGAACACCAGCCTGGGCAAAAAATTAGCAATACCTCATCTCAGTTGATAAGGTGGACATGATGTTGTATACCTGTCATCCCAGCCATGAGGGAGGTGTAAATAGAAGGATGATCGTAGTCTAGGCCAGCCCTGCCAAAAATGCAAGACCCTATTCAAAAAACAGCTGTAAGCAAAAAGGCCTGAGGGATACGGGTCAAGTGGTAGAGCTTGCCTCATAAGTGCAGGGCTCTGAGTTCAATCCCCAGCACTGCCAAAAAAAACTACAAAAAAAAAAAACTTTATTTAATAGTATATAACAAAGGAAATATTTCTAATAGATAAGGAAAAACATTGTTCAATAAGCAATTTTTATAAAACTAATTATTTTTAAAAATTGGATCACTTTCCAATACTTACAATAAAACAAATTCCAGATGGATTAAGGATTTAAATAATTTTTAAAGACCCTGAGAGGTAACTGAAGAAAATTTCATGAATAATCCTGCTATTTGAGTTGTGGAAAGATCTTTTGAGTATAACACCAAACCAAGGAACCATAGTTAACTATAGGAAAAAGATTAGTATGTGTGGCAGAGTTACAGACTCCCCAAAGGCAAATTTTAAAGACACATTAGTAAAGAATACCTTCAAAATATATGATAAAATTTTAATATTCCTAATATATGAAGTCTTAATAACTTAATAAAAATAAGAAAAACACTACAGTAGAAATATGCAGAAGGATACACACTATCAGTTGTCACAAAATGAGAAATCTAAGTATGAAGTAAGTGTTCATTCTCTCTTAACAATCAAAACATGTAAGTGAAAATTGTCTATGAGATTGGCAACAACTATAAGGACTGATAAACATAGATTTGGCAAAGATAAATTAACAGATGATCTTATACAATGTTAGGAGGTAAATTGGTGCATCTTTCATTATTACGCATAATAAAAATGTAACTGAGTGCCTACTGACCCTCCACTTATGCACCCAGGAATTTCTTCAGAAAATAATTGAATTTGCTGATAAAGATCCATGTTATAGCCAGGCATGGTGTAGAATCTCGAGTTCAGGCCAGCATGAGCTGCATAACAAGAGCCATTCTCTAAAAAGTTAAAAACAAAAAAGATATGCATTATAAACAATGGCCATATCTATTAAATGCAGGTTACAAAAAAAAATCTTCTTTTCAAATGCAGTTTTTCAAATTAAATATACACAGACCATGTAGAAAGAAATTCTAGGAGGATATAGATTTAAAACAGCAGTTTTTTTCTACGTGTTAGGAATGTAGATGATTTTCTCTGCCTTTATGAATATTTTGATCCTTTTCTGGCAAAAAAGATTTAATTTTGAAAATAATTTTTAAAAGAGTCTTTCAGAATGACAAAAACAGACTTGGCAATAATTCTTACTCTTTTAAAACTTAAAGGAGTTTTGTAACCTAAAAAATTGTAACCTAAAAAATAGTACTTACGTTTTCCAGATAAAATAATATTGATTTCAGATTGTATGCTTTTCTTTTTTTTCCAATTTATATATTTCAAACATATTTTTTCATTTATTTTTTGTGGTATTGGGGTTTGAACTCAGGGCCTGTGATTGATAGACTGGTGCTTACCACTTGAGCCACTCTCCCAGCCCTTACATTTTTTCATTTAAAAAGCATAGTTTGACTTATCCTTGATCTGACAGTTTTTAAAAAATTGAATATACTTTATTTTTGCTAGGTTTATTCAGTTTGAATATTTTTATACTTACTGGAACTAGTGAATTTAAAGCTGACTTATTGCATCTGTCCCTCAGAAGTTTATTAACTGATGCAATAATTAATACCTCTGATAGATCCTGAACTTTTATTTTTATATCTATGTTATTTTCTAAATCCTTAAAAATTAGTGCTATATGTCTGGTATATATTATAACTTTACATTAAACACTTAAGTAGAACAGTCTTTTAGACAGTTGCTTACTGCTCTATGTTGGGATTTAGTCTAAGTCAGTCCAGTTACTGTAAACAGTTCAGATATTGACAGCTATATCATGAAAATTACATTTAAGAGTTATCATCAGTGAACATATGTTTTTATTTTCTTTGTTATAGGAATTATGGGTAAAGAAGGAAGACAAGCTGCAAGAAACAGTGACTATGCAATAGCTAGATTTAAATTCCTCTCCAAATTACTTTTTGTTCATGGTCATTTTTATTATATTAGAATAGCTACCCTTGTACAGTATTTTTTTTATAAGGTGAGTTTCTCAGGGATTTTTAGAATCTATTACTGATATAGTAACTTAAATTTTAAATTTAAGGAATGTTATAGCCATATAAATTATTCGTAAAAATAACCATGCTTTTGTAATAAATCTAATATATACTGACAATGCAAATTGCCTTGTCAGTTGCCTGGTGGGGTCACAGGTGGTAGAATTGACTGGAAAGGGATACAGAACTTTTGGGGAAAGTTCTCTAATTTTATGGTGATGTATAATTTGTCAAACACATCAAAATTTACACTTAAAATTGATGTTTTATTCTGTGCAAATTAGGCTACAATAAATTTTATTTTCTTAACTTGTTTTGTCTTGAGCCAGTAATATGTTTTAATGGAACTCCAACATGATTGTTTGAAGCAGAGTTCCTTAATATTTTTTTCCCATGGATGGCCCTCCAGTAGACTAGTGAAATGTATGAACCTGTCAATATAGGGTTTTGATATGCGTAAAATAAAATAATGATTTTGAAATACTGTTCTATTTCTGGACCCTTTGGGAGAATGTGGGAATCTGTAAAACCCATGTTAAGAGTCCCTCCTGGGACTGGCAGAGTGGCTCAAGTAGTAGAGCACCTGCCTAGCAAACATGAGACCCTGAGTTCAAATTCAGTTCCACCAAAACAAAATAACAACAAAAAAGGAGTCTCTGCTATTAAGACATTTAATTATGGCAGAGTATTCTACATAGCATATGTTTCTGTAGTTAATAGTTACAAGCCAGTGAAAGAACACAAGTTACTTATTACTATAAGATGATGTGAAATTTTCTTCTAACTATCATAGCCCTAAAATTTAAGTGAATCTTACTTATGCTATATGTGAAAAGTATTGAATAAGAGTTCAAAGCTTGTAAAATTAAAATTATGTTATTCCTTGGCAGTGATGGGAGCTAAGAGTATTTTCATTGTGATACCTGGTCAGCTCCTAGGATGGTTCTAGACATTTTTTTTAAATAAAATGAGAATTCTACTTTCCCATTTTTATATGGACAAGTCCTAATGGAAAAATCACCTCCTTATTATAGCAACAGATTTCTGGACACTTTTTAAGAAAATTTTTCTGTTTAGATATAAGTATTTTAATTATATCCCATTTAATCTTGTTTTTCAGAATGTGTGCTTTATCACACCTCAATTTTTATATCAGTTCTACTGTTTGTTTTCTCAACAAGTAAGTAAATTAGAAACTTGTGTTTTGTCCTTTTAAAATAAGGTAATATGTTCTAATCTTGGATGATACTTAGAGATACTTTTCATTTTTCTGTGTCCTATGAGTAACAAGACAAAACTTCTGTGAGTAGTATACCCAATCAGCATAACATAATATTTATCCTTATATTCAGTTTGAGATTAGTCTTGATATCAAATATATTTTAATTCTGGATTTAAAAAAAATATCAGTACTAAGTCTTAATAGCTTATGAGAGAATCTTGGTAACTTTCTTTCACCTTACTTGTGGTATTTCTATAGAATCCATATCAAGCAAGACCAAATCACTATTAGAGGTTCACGTCATTATTTTTGAGTCCAAATTTTTAAAAATTCATTAGTAACCTTAGTGGTTACACCTGGTTAGTCCAGGTGTAAGCATCACCTCAAAAGCTAACTTTAAGTAATTGAGAGGAGCAGGTAGTGTGGTATACTGATAAGATTTCTGAAGCATTTAGGTTCAGGGAGAAATGCACTGGGCACAGGGTGGGTCTTTGGTTGCACACATGTCACATATTTGCCATTCCTGGCCTACAGTTTTATTTTATAGAAAAGGGAAGTAAAACCCACAGAGATTAAGCAGCTTGCATAAGATCACATGGCTAAGTCAGTGACCTACTGCTTCTCGCTAGTTGAGGACCCCTTTCCACATAGTTGACAACTATCTCAAGTTGATAAAGACATTCATTCTCACTTATTGAAAAAACATAAGCTTAATTATCTCAGGCTTTTTATGAGTTGTTCTTACCTGTAATTGCTGTTTTCTTCTGTTTATACTTCTCTAAATTTCAAATACCTGCTTAGAATAGGCACTGATAGCTCATAACAATTTACCTAAATGAAATAAAGAATACTGTATGACAAGGGGATCTACCTGGCTAGCTTGATTATGTTTTCAGGGAGACAGTATTAATAACAATAAAAACAATATGTGAAGCATAGGCACATTAGTACCACCTGGTACCTATGACTCTTTAGAGGAGTTTAGTGTTATCAACGTCTTGGACCACTGTGGAAAAGTTTCATGAAAAAAGAGTTTAGTTCAGTGTAGATATAGAGAGTATAGGATATAGATGGGAGACCAAGCCAGGAAAGGAAAACTGTATGTGTAGCGATTAGAAGAATAATAAGAAGCCTAGGATGCATAGAGAAGGATTGTGTAAAACTATGTCACAGCAACCAATTTGTGGAGATGCAATTATAGAAAACTGTAGATCCAATTCACTGTATTTCTGAAAACAATTAGTAGCAGCAAAATATTCCAACTTCTACCGTGAATATAAATCTAACAACATTGTATGTTTATGACTATATAAAAATGTAATTATTAAAATGGATTTTGGTGTAAATTGAAAAAACTCATTATATGCTTGTTTTTATATGCTTCTTTGTGATTATATGCCTAAATACAATAGAAATATGTAATTTAGAGTCTCTTAAGTGCTTACTGATTTCTCTTTCTAGACACTGTATGACAGCGTGTACCTGACTTTATATAATATTTGTTTTACTTCCCTACCTATTCTGATGTATAGTCTTTTGGAACAGCATATAGACCCTCATGTATTACAGAATAAGCCCACTCTGTATCGGTAAGTGCTTTCCAGTATTACATGTCCATACGTTTCTGATCACAAGTGGTATGTTCAGTGGTTATCAATTATAACAAGTACCTTAAAAATAAGCAAATTTATAACGTCTTGGTGTTAATAATTTCCTAAGGAACGTATGGTTGGCATATGGTTTAAAGTTGTTGAATATCAAATAGAAAAACTGAATAATTTTTCCAATAGTCTTTGGGGGATTTTTTTGTTTCTTTGGGTGGTACTGGAGTTTGAACTCAGGGCTTCATGTTTGCAAGTGAGCCATGCCTATTTGGGAAGTAGGCTCTTGGTTTTAGCCCAAGCCAACCTGGACCACAGTCCTCCTATTTTATACTTTGTGCTGAAACTGGGATGATAGGTACACACCACCATGCCCAGCTTTTTTCTGTTGAGGTAGTGCCTCATGATCTATTTTGCCTTGACTAGCCTCAAACCATAATCCTCCTGATCTCACCATCCAAAGTAGCTAGGATTACAGGCGTGAGCCACCTGTGCCTGGCTCCAGTGTTTTTAAGAATGAACACTCATCCTAGGAATGCATTGAACAATTGTGCAATTTATAGTTAGCTATTACAAACAAATAATATTCAATTTTTCACACAAAAGAAATTATACAGTAATAGGTAGTCTCTAGAGTGCCTAAAAAAATCAGATCATGTTCTCCTGTTGTCAAATTTATGAGTAATAATCACTGCAAAATTCAAGTCAGCTACATTAATCCCAGATCCCTTGTTTTTCTAGAATGTGGAACCTGTCAGGACCTATGGTTCTCATCATAAATTCTTGTAGGGAGACTATTGAGGTTTGACTTACAGAGGTGTCCAGTTATCCAGCTATGGAGTAGTGTACTTTGATTTCCAGAGTATCTAATTCAGGGCTTGATCCAAAATTGGCACAATTATCCTTCCAATAATAGCTCTTTTTGAAAATGAAGTGAATTAGTAGCCTCAATGGTAAACCCAACTCATAAAACCTTACTAAAAAGAGACTATCATGACAGAGTGGCTGAATGTTAACAGAATATAATACAGATAAATCAGTTTTCACAAATAAACTGAAGTGTTATACCTGAATTAAATTTATCAAAATTTATTATATGAACTCTAAGCTGTTACATAGATGCATACTGTTATTAGAAGTGGTGGTTTGTAAATTGTGGTTTACTATCTTAAAACCCTATCGTATTTTAATTATCAAATTGTAATTATTTAGTAGGTTAAAAGAAAATGAATCCTAATGTGTGTGTGTCTTTCTCTCTCTCTCTCTCTCTCTCTCTCTCTCTCGGTTTAATTTACAGGGACATAAGTAAAAACCGTCTCTTAAGCATTAAAACATTTCTTTATTGGACCATCTTAGGTTTCAGTCATGCTTTTATTTTCTTCTTTGGATCCTATTTTCTAATCGGGAAAGACATATCTCTGCTTGCAAATGGCCAGGTAAAATCTATAGTGTTTTAAAGAATGCTTGTCAATATTTTGACAATGTTGAGCTCAACTCACTTCTTAATCAGTCCCAAAATGTACTCTGCAACTCCATCACCACAGCTCAAGGGGATGTCAGAATAGAGTCATCTTATCTCATTGATTACAGTTGAAATACATTACTTTTTCTAAGAGCCACATCAGTGTGCTTGTTCTGGGGCCTTAAATGGGGCTGATGCAAGAGAATCCTTAATTTCTGTCCTAAGGAAGGTACTACTTAACAGATGCCTTAAAAAGTCAGATACTGAAGAGAAGATGGGTAGTTATTACCATTTCCAGGCCAAGATCTAGTGGTTGCAACAAAAAAATCTGTCCTCGTATCCCTAAAAGAGGAGACTGCCATTCCTCTGAGAGTTATGTTGAAACTCACTGATTTTCAGTATTTTGGGGTCATTATTCTAGAAATTTATAAGTAGGGAAGTAAGCATGGGTTCACTGTGACTTTTCCATTGTGTGCTTCTTCATAGATTCCCAAAGTACCCTCAAATGAAAGATTGTTACCACGTTTCCTTGTTAATAATAACTGTTCAGTGTTTGCTTATCATGTACCAGATACTCTGTCCTTCTTGTGTACCCTGTTTTTTATGAAAACCTGTGAGATTTGCTTGTTTTATAAATGATGTGAGTCAGAGAAGTTGTCATACAAATGCTAATTTTTAGAAATCTATAATTTTTAAGAATAGCAGACTTCTAAATAAAATTTAAATCAATGTTAAGATTATGACTGCTTTGTTAATTAAGCTAACATAAATTTTTGGTTGTGTTTTTATGTGTGGAAATAAAATCCTGATATTCTTTTGAGATTCTGCATATGTGATGAACCTCAGTAAGTTCTGGCTATAAAGCCCAGATTGGCATTAAACTGCATTTTTATAAGGAGTACTTTGAGGAGTAATTCCACAGGCCATTATCTTTTCTTTCAGATGCTGGTTTTAACTTTAAATTTCCTTTTTCCTGCTTACTTAAGTTGTGTCAAGAAATACTATGGAGCCAGTCACTGGTGACTCATGCCTATAATCCTACCTACTCAGGAGGCAGAGATCAGGAGGATCGTGGTTCAAAGCCAGCCCAAATAGTTCCCGAGACCCTGTCTCGAAAAAGCCCATCACAAAAAAAGGGCTGGTGGAGTGGCTTAAGGTGTAGGCCCTGAGTTTAAGCACTGGTACCACAAAAAGGAAAAGAAAAAAAATAAATACTGTGGCAAGGAATCTGCTGTGACTTCTAGAAATTTTAGAAAGTTTTCAGAAAATAATTGTGGTTGAACAGGGTTTTGTTACCATTTTTAGAGTGTGATGGGAGTAATACAGTAATGGCTAGATTATTGTAACTAAAAATAGTCTGTGCCACATAATTCTAAACCCACCACTGAGTTTTGTATGATGTTGTTATCCAACATTAAAATGCTTTATATGTTTCTTCTCATGCTCAATTTTATTAGTGTAATTACAGAGTCCACAGATTTAATTGGCTTAAATAATTCAAATGATTTTTAGTAAAGAATGAAATGCATTGGATTTAACATCATGTTAACATAATAGTTTATTCTTCTTGTTTAGATGTTTGGAAACTGGACTTTTGGAACTTTGGTCTTCACAGTCATGGTTATTACAGTCACAGTAAAGGTATGGTACTAAAATTAGAAACATGCATTTTGTGTCTGTATAGTTAGCAGTTAATATTCTGCATTTCTTTAACTGTAAATATTTTCCCATTTCAGTGAATAACTTCATTAATTGCTATTTTAGTACTTCAATTAAATTTTTGTCAAAAAATCTCTTTTAAGTTCATTATTTTGGAAAACTTAACTGACTTGGGTCAAATAAAAATCACTGAAATTTTGCTTCCATATATAGTGTATATAGTGCAAAACAACACAATTTGTTTTAGGCCATGGAGTTGAGTAAAGTCATCACACGAAATTTCAGTGCTCCTTTCTCACAGAATAAATATGTAGACATGAAACTATGCCAGTGTGGCTTGTAGGCATATAATTAATGTGCTTAATTCTTGAGTTTTATCTAAGAGGTTAAAGAAAACTTTATTGTGTTATATTTCTAAAATGTTTTTTAAAATTTTTAGATGGCTTTGGAAACTCATTTTTGGACTTGGATCAGCCATCTTGTTACCTGGGGATCTATTATATTTTATTTTATATTTTCCTTGTTTTATGGTGGAATCCTCTGGTAAGTAACTATATTGTGTTCAAATTATGTTTAACTATAATAAACACTTACTGTGATTGGGTATATCGTGAGCAAATTCTATTCAGAATAGTTTTGAGACAGTGTCCTGATAAGTTCACTTCTTTGAGTTGAACTTACTGATGTGGAGAAAAAAACATCACAATTCTTGAATTGCCTACTACATTGTAGACATTTTATATAAGATAAACCATTGATTCATCACCATAATCTTACTGGCCGTATTTTTCCTATGTGGAAAATACGTCTGTCTTCACAGTTAAAATTCTTTACACTAACCATATTATCTCCAAAGTATTTATTCATATATGTAATAAGTCCCATTAAACCACTAAATTTTGATTATTGAATTAACTTCGTTCTCAAAGATTAATATTATACTTCATCTTCATTAATAGGATCAGTTACTCAGCAAGCTATTCTGATAGATTAAAAATTCGTGCTTTTCCTATTTTTTTAACCTTTTTAGTTAATAATAGTTGTGCAGGGTGTTTCCTTGTGACATTTCCAGTTTTTTACTAAGTGATGGGCAACTAATGTCTTTTGGAGAATTTATATTACATTTGCCTGCTGTACCTTTGTTTCATTTATCAGGCAAAAAACTCCTAAAGGTAAGCAAAAAAAAAA